TCGAATTAACCGAATCAAACCGATTTTTGATCGGTTCGGTTAAATCGGTTAGTTAAAATTTTGTTGATCGGTTCGGTTACTGATAAAATAAAATCGATTAATTTGATTATTGATTTTTTCAGACCGAATTAATCAAATTAATCGACTGCACACCCCTAAATGTATCCTGCTAGAAAACCAGTTGGCCTCTGGCTTTGTAGTTTCAGATATATCATCACGAAATCTATCATCCACCACCTCAAAATAGGCAGAAATTCTCTTCGGATCACCATGTTTTTTAGATTCTTTACCATGTCCAAGATTTATTCTCTCACCATAACTACTTCGAGAATTTCTTTCACCACTTCTTCCACTAGATCCAGATCTCTCAATGCAAAGTGGTTCATAGATATCCAAACAAGGCATACCATGACGGCCACTGCGAAGAGTAAAAGAGTCTTCCCTCTCAACCTATATGATATGTCCAAAAAAAAAAAAATTTTCAGAAGATGAATGCATCTTCAAGTTGATCGAATCAATACCCTTTCAACACAAATGAATATTTCTCGCGGGCCATGTTAAATTTAAGTAATTAGCTTACCCTCTTAGGAGTCGAAGGCCCGTCAATGGTACTCTTCTTCTCACCAGTGTATCTTCTATCCACATAGACATGCTTAATGAATTTCCGAAGCCCCTCAATATTACTGATACCAAGCGTATGAGTTAATACTGTAATCATCTTCCAGAATTTCAACAGTAAGTCGAGCATAAACAGAATACGAACCAGTTATCAGGAACAGATCGCGAATCCCATTCTTTGAAATAAACTTCCTTTGCACGCTATGAGAGAGATTGAAATAGATTAAACCAATAACATAGGCATATCAAATACAAAATTGACATGACATTATATTTCATAAGGCAATCAACTATATTTAGCGATTTATGATTATTACCTCATTCCCCCCTTCCCGAAGACCAGTAACTTCTTCTGAAGTAAATGTGGCCATTGATACTGATTCACTCGATGTGTAAACTCACGACTACATTGACAATTAAATAAGAGCCATAAACCAAGATGCAAAGAAAATATAAAAAAAAAACTAAAAGAGATTTGAAAATACAGGAAATACTTCTGTATTCCGCTACATGTTGCGCAAACAAATGTCCAAAAATTTGTACATACATATTGAGGTCCCTGCTCACAAGTTACAAGCCACATGCTAAGTCATTGCACATACATTACATGCAGGCATACATAAATACATACACACGCTTACATACGTATACATGCACATTGGATTTAACAAATGCCATAAGAAACCAGCAATCAACATGAGAAAAAGGAAACAATTTTCATTAAATCCAAAGCCAAATGCGCAGATGTTAACAAATAAAATCTTTTATTTTGATAAAAATATTTCATTTTTTTAAAATACGAGAAAAATATCAAATGAAATCAACAAATATCAAAAAAAAATTGTCAAAAAAAATTACCAGGCTATTGCAGTTGATACAACGGCGATCGTTGGGAAGCTTCAAGAGGCCGCGAATGATTTTCTCGTTCTTCTCGTCTTCTTTTACTTTTCCCTTCATTTTGTTTCTTCTTCTTCTTATCTTCTTATTGCAGAGTAATAAAGCCAACAAAGGAGAAGCTAAAAGGAAAGCAGAGAAGCGGAAAACATAAAACTCACAGAAATAATAACGAGATAAACAAATTTAACAAAATTTTGGTTAGATTAAACGGATTAAAAAGAATATTATAGCTAAATTAAGTAAAATCTGGCTTTGATTTTTATTTTTTAACAATTCAAAGCAATATATAGGCTGCTTTTGTAACTAAAAAGATGAAAAAAAAAAAAAAACTGTTGCACCGACGGGAACGAAGTCGTTTTACTGCTGGATTCTGCGGAGAATGCTAGCTCATATTGTGAGTGTCAATAGATTGGCTAAATGCTTGAATTTGTGAATATATATATATATATATATATATATATATATTGGAGAGATTTTGAAAGATAATCCACGGGAGGAGGAACTGCAGAGAACGACGTCCGGCTGGCGGATAGTGACCGTTAACGATTTTGCTAGTATTTACGAAAATGTCCTTGAAAATGGGACAAGAAGTTGACCCGACTTTGACTTGCCAGTTTTCTTTTTATCAAAGGATTAAAGCAAGAAACATTTTTGTGTTGTTTTTACTTCTTACTGGTGTATTTTTTACCAAGAGTGGTGCTAAGATTATTGTCGTTTTTTTTCTCTTTGTACCTCAATTTTTTTAAATTATTTAATTACTGCTCTCATAATTTTATAAATTTTTATAATTTTTTTTATAAAAAAATTCAGAAGTTATATAATTTTTCAAAAATAAAATTTTGAAAAGTCATAAAATCATTTTGAAAATTTAGCTTTTCAAAAATCAAATTTTGAAAAGGTCTATAATTATTTGAAAATCTATTTTTAAAAAATTTTATGATTTTTGAAAATTTATTTTTTGAAAAAGTTTATGATTTTTGGAAAATGCATAATTAAAAATTAGTGTGAAAAAAAAGATAATTAAATAACTTCATTTTAAAAAATAAAAAAATTAGAGTGCGAAGAGAAAAGCTTGAAATGCATTTACTATCACTCTTTATTCACTCTTATGACTTACACCTATTAAATTTCTCGATGTACCATCATCTTTTCTGATTAACACTCGAAGCTTGAAAATTATATATATATATATATATATATATATATATATACCCTCATTTTTTTTCTTTATACCTTAATTTTATTTAGGTTATTTTTTAAAAAATTATTTAATTACTGTTCTCGTAATTTTATAAAGTTTTATAATTTTTAAAAATAAATTTTCAAAAAATTATATAAATTTTCAAAAATAAAATTTTAAAAAGTCACAAAATCTTTTTGAAAATTTTTCTTTTCAAAAAAAATTTTTGAAAAGGTTTATAATTTTTTGAAACTTTATTTTAGAAAATTTATATGGTTTTTCGGAAATCTATTTTCAAAAAAATTTATGATTTTTCAAAACTTGTGTGAAAAAAATAATTAAATAACTTTATTTTAAAAAATTAAAAAAAATTAGAGTGCGAAGAGAAAAGCTTAAAATGCATTTCGCATCACTCGTATCCATTCTTACGGCTTGCACCTATTAAATTTTCCAATGCACCTCTATCTTTTCCGATTAACACTTGAAACTTGAAAATCATATATATATATATATATATGTATATATTATATTAAAACATATATATAATATTTATTGACATAGAGATTTACGTGCGCATGACTTTTTTTTTAATATTTAAGATGATTTTTAAAATTTATCATTATAATGACACATAAGATATTTATTAATTTTAAATTATTTATAAAAAATATTTTTAAAAATTAATAAATTATCTAAAATTCTTAAATTTATCAAAAACTAATTAATTCTAATGAAAATTTTTTTTTACTTCACTAATCTCAATTAAAATAAATGTTTAAAATAATTTATCTTCTTTTAATTATCTGGATTTTACATGATTATATTTAATTTACTTAGTTTTAAAATATATTTATATTTTTCATATTTTTAAATATAATCTTTACTAATTGTTTTTAAATATATATTATTTAAAAAGATAATTTTATAAATAATCAACTGCTTTAAAATTAGTATATATTGAATTAAATGAATTTGAAATTTTAATAAATATTATTATCAACATCTATTAAAATATTACAAATATAAAAAAATAAAAATATCAAAATAACTTTATGAAAATCTTTATTGTCAATAGTTCTTAGTTATATATCTTTTTCAATGTCTCACGAAACATACGAGATAAATGTATTTTCTCTACTATTAATTTAATCTTTCTTTTTATTAGTCTATTCTTACTATAAGAATTAATATATTTTTTTTTATGATAGGTACTATTTCACTAAACATACTATCCATTTCATTAAGTATGCTTTTTTTTTTTCAAATCAATTGTAACATTTTTTTTTATTTCTCAATTTACAATAAATTTAATTATAATCTACTTAAGTAGATATCTTTTTTATTATAATTTAAAAATAAATAAAAAAATAAACTCAATAAGTTTATTTCATTTATTTATGCAAAAAGTGGAGATGCTAAAGTGAAAAAAATATAAAAAGAGTTGATAGGTTACTCATAATTTTTTAAGTAGAATTTACTCATTTTTTTTTTAAGTAGAACTTAATGATTGCAATTTTTTTTAATGAAAGTTCAAGATTAACTATTACATATGTTAATTAGATACTTTATATAGAAGATGTCGATATTTACTTAAAAAATACAAAAAGTAAATAGTTTAGTACATTTCATTAAAATTTTTTTGTCAATAATTCTCTTAAATAATTATTTATAATTTAATACTATTACTTACTCAAAATTAAAAATGATTTCACTTTAATTTTTATAAAAACATAATTCTTTATCAAATATCAACCTCAAAATAATTAAAAAATATAAATATTTGGAAAGTCATATAAATGCTGATGATTATGATATTATCAAAACTCCAACAAAAAAAAATGTACATGTGGATCCGTTATAAAATAGTATATGCGATGAGTTATCGCTTATGTTATTTAAATATTTAAAATTATTATTTTTTTAAATAAATAAAACTTATTTTAAAATTATATAAATATACAAATATATAAAAATGATAAAAAAACTGAAGATGATACAAATTGAATAAATTTTATTTAAAGTGACAAGATTTTTAGTTTCTATTTTAATATTTTATTGATATACTTAATAATATTGTTTACAATATTTTCATATGCTTTTTCTTTCTCTCATATTATTTATCATATATTTTAAAATTTGTTAATTTTTTAATTAAAATTTTTACTTTTATTATGATTTGATATTTTACTTATATTTAATTTTACATATAGCATGTAAATATTTTAATAATATTAATTTATATTTTTATTTAAATTTGAATAAAATAAAAATAATATAGCACATATAACAAACTAATTATAAAAAATAAAATTCATGAGAAAACAAAGTCCTGTCTCCATTAAAGTTTACCCAAAAATTCCCCAAAAAACTTTCTGTATAAAAATCTAGGGTTTTCGTAAATAACGCTACCCCTTAGTTAATATCGTATAAAATAGAAATTTCCTTCAATTTCAGGTCTGCTAGGGTTGTGGTTTTCTTTGATTTTTAGGCGATTCGTTTTGAAATTTGTCTTTTGCTTCGTTACAAAGTTTGCTTTTTTTTTTTTTTTTCCTTTTTTCTTTTTGAATTTGTTTTGAGTTTTAGCGAGTTGGTGATTGGTTCGCGAGAAAGTAATGGCTAGGACGGGAGAAGAAGAGGTGGAGTATGAAAGTGATCCAGAGGAGGTGAAGCGTTCGCTGGCGATGCGGGGAGGAGCAGGGCGGGCGAGTGACGCTGAGGAAGGGGAAAGGGATAATAATACCGAGGCGAGGATGGATCGGAGGGCTGTGATTCATTCCGATGAATCCGATGGCCAGGGTGGTGCTGCAGATTATGATGATGACGAAGAAGAATTGGACTTAGAAGAAGACGGAGAGGAAGAAGCTTATGATGAAGAAGAGGAAGAGGAGGAAGAAATTGATGAAGAGGAGATGGAGGAAGTAGGGGAAGGAGGGTTGCAAGGGAATGTGGAGAGAACCGGAGAAGATATGAAGGAAGCGGTGGTGGGTGATGGGAATAGGAATATGGATGAGGAAGTGAAGATTAATAATAATAATAATAATAATGTCGAAGAGGAAGATGAAGAGGAAAAGAAGGAGACTGAGCCATTTGCAGTGCCAACTGCTGGGGCATTCTATATGCACGATGATAGATTTCGAGATAATGTTGGTGGTCGTCATAGGTATTCGATTTTTTTTCTTTGCTTTTCTGGGTGTAAATTGTTATGTTAATTAATAATATGGCTAAATATTCAAGTAATTAATTAACAATTTATAGAAAAGCATACGGTGCTTTTTTTTTAGATTATTTGTTATGCCTATTTTAGTTTTTCTTTCGTGTAATGGTTGAAGTTGGAAAGCTTACTTGCCCTGCCATGTACTTTCTTATGCAGAGAATAGAAATTAAAATTTTTTATTCTTTTAAGCAATGTTACATTTAGACAACAAATGTGTTTAATTTTAGGTTTTTGACACCAATGTTGTTCATGCTCTGTATGCGGCTGTTTTATGTTTTGTCATATTGAACCTTGAATCTGTCCATGATTAGGGTTTAAGGAGATATAAGGTTATAATGTGCATGAGAGCTTAGCTTACTTGCTTGTCTAGACAAGTATGACTGGTGATCAAATTTAAGTACCTAATTGTAACAGTTGCAGTGAGGAGTAAGGGCTTGAAATTTCATAATCTACTCTAGCATTTTGTTACACAAGTAGACCTGCATGCCAGATGCTCTTATACATTATTTAGGCGTTTTTCTTTCTTTATTCATTGTTCATTCATTTTAAGAGCTTAAAAGCTACCTGGATTGATCCAGGCATGGGCTAGTTGATTAGGAACTTTGTTGTAAACCAAAGAGTGGCCCAATATAAGACCAAATGTGAACTGATTTGGTCAAAATTTAGGCCCAGATTGGAACCTTGGTATTTGATGACATTTTGAGTGTGTATGACTACTCTTCCTTGACCTTTTTTGCTTATGTGTAGGGACAAGTTACTACTAATGCTGAACATTCTTTTCATCTATACTGTTGATACTATGACTGCTATATGAAATAATGACAATAGGGTTTTTATGGTCCCAATATTTATTTATATGCTTATTTTCTAATTCATTTTCATTAGTGCATGTCTGTGTAAAGACTAACTGTATTTATACTTTGTGTTCTTATTTTGTAAATATTAGATGTACAGTTAAACCAGTAACCTGATTTTTTTTTTGGTACATGTGATATTGAGCTTCACAATGGGAGGTAGCCTTCTCCCATATCATAAATCTCATCCTGTCCATTCCAAGATTTGAACTCAGGACCTCCAAGATGAAGGCTTGAGCTCAAACCGCTTGGGTGTCCCTTTGGGGACAAACCAATAACCTGATGACTCTGTGCTATCATTGCTTAATTTCTGTTCCAGACTTAAACTTTTATGTGTTCAATCCTCACTTTTTTTTTTTAACACACTTTGGTGCATTTCCATGTTATTGCCCTGCCTTTTCCATTCTAGTTATTATAAATGTTTCAAGTTGTGTATCACTCTGATTCATCCATTTTAGGCGAACACATGGTGGAAGGAAATTGTGGGAATCCAAAGATGATAGGAAATGGGGACATGACAAGTTTGAGGAGATGACTTTGCAAGAAAAGCATTATGAAGAGGTAAGAGTTTTGTTCATATTCAACTTGCATGATTAGTGTTTCTGTTCCTTCTTAATCTCATTTGATCTTTTTCATTTTCCCTACTGATAATCTTCCACATTCAGGGAAGAAGATCTTCTAGAAGTAGATATCGAGCTCGGAGTAAAAATTGGGGTCCAGATCATGGTTATCCTAGGGGAAGTAGGTCCAAACCATTTGGGAAAAACTACAATCAGAACCAGGCTCCTAAGGGTGTGAGAGGGAGAGTACCTAGGAGGTATGAACCTACTATGAAAAACAGTTGTCAGGCACCTCCAAGACAGAACAAACTGTGAGTATTAACATGCATTTGTTTCCTTCAATTTTCTCTCTATTCCCACCATGATTAAATTTGCACAACACTTAATGAGTTAAATATTTCAGGTCTGTAAAGCCTCTTGAGAAAACTTCACAAGCTAATTTGAGTAGAGCTTTCACACCTGCAACAAATGCAGACTCTGCATTAGTTCCTGCTAGGAAACATATTTTTGCATCAAGCTTGAGTTCTTCTTCCCCACCTTTTTATCCATCTGGGTCTTCCAACAAAGACATTGCTTTGACTCAACAGAAGGATGTGCAAGCTGGAACCATGAGCAGAAATGTTCGCCCATCTGTTACAGATGAGAATATTTCTGTGTCGCAATCCAATTCATTGCGAGGGAAGAATGTATTGGATTCTCTCAGCATGGCAAAGCTTTATATAGATGATTCTGGCATGTCAGCTTCTGTCAAGCCTTTGACCAACATGCAGATGCTACCTTCTGGATCTTCGTTGGATAATACTATTCAACCCTCTCAGTCCAGGGTACAGGGTAGAGGCACAGCTATCCCGGGACTGAAGGCTTATCAGCCAGCTCCACCTCAGAACCAAGTCAACAGAGTTTCTTCTCAAACGCAGGTTGATGCTTCTCAGAGTAGTCCTGTTCAAGGCAGGGCTCAGTCTTCTCTACAAGCAGCTGCTCAGCAGTTGGGCCAGCATCCTGGTATTGGGTTTCAAACTTCATCTCCACCAAAAACAGCTATATCAGTCAATTCATATGAATCTGGAGAGGTTGAATCTTCAGAAACAAGTAAATCCAATGGTGCATTGGCGAGCAAGGGAAAAAGCAGTGTTCAAGGAGCTGGAGGGGGCTCTTTTCTGTATGGTGGAGCTCAGATTATGGGGTCTACGGGGAATATGGCTGTCAGCCGTGCTGATCAGAACTTTCCTGCCTTTTTACCGGGTAAAGCTTTTTATACTTTTAATTCTTCAATTTATCTTGATAACGTATCTACCATAAAAGGTAAACTGTAAAATGGGGAAATTTGTGTTACCTGAAGCAGTGCATTCTAAATCCTAGGCCACTTTTTTTTTTTTTGAATTTTTATATGAATTAAATTAAATGCTTTACTAAATATTAGATGTAGTTTTCATCTGAATATCTTTAATGGCTTTTTGGCTAAGATAAGATGGAGTTTTAATTCCTGGAAAGTGATTTGTTTTGATTAGGGATATGCTTTTTCTGGGGTGGCTAGAGGTTGGAGTTTGTCGAGTTTATTTGTCTTTGTGATTAATAACTATGGGGTGTCAGGGAGTAGCTTTTATCTACTGAGTTGCTTAGATTCAATTTTTTTATTCTATATTTTCTGATCGGCAGTTCTATGCTTTCCTATTAAACATTTTATAAGCTCAATTTCTTAATGCTTTTTTCTGAATGATCATGCAGTAATGCAATTTGGTGGTCAGCACCCTGGTGGCCTTAGTGTTCCCGCTGTTGGCATGGCATTTCCTGGATATGTTGCCCAGCCACAACATGGTTTGGGAAACTCAGAAATGACATGGTACATTAATTCTTTCCCTTTAGTGAAGTTTTCTTTCTGTGGATTACATCTGGTTTCCTTTGAGAAATGAAGGTGATGTCTTGGTCAGTTCAGTAACTGCCCAGTTGGTTTTCTATGGAGAAGTTACCTCTCCACAATGAAGCAGAACTTATGAGTTATGAATCAGATTTTCAGACTCAACATATTTTCCAGATAAGCCTTTTGTGGCTAATCTCCAATTTGCTACAAATTTTGATAGTAGTGAAGGTGTAAGGGGGAGATGCTTTGGGTGTGGGCCAGGGATTTAAATAGCAGCAAGATGGCAGTATAGCGGCCACTATTTTGCGGTAGGGCCGCTATCCACAACTGCTTTCAGGAAAAAAACAGAGGAGAATTTTAATCCCAATTGTAGTGGTGCATTGCTGCCGCGAAATGCGGCATAACGTTGAATAGTGGTGATAGCAGTTTGCTATTGCCCACTACAATTGGGTTTCCATTAAAAAATTCAAGGAAAAAATTTCATTTGACTTAGGTTAAAAACTTAAAATGAAAAAAGCAAGCCAGAAAAGAGACATGAATTCATAAATTCAGCCAAAAAAAAAAACACAAAACCTAGACTTCCAAAGACATTAGTTGTCTGAAATTCAACCTCAATCAAAATCAAGCACATGCAATTTAAGGTAAGCAAGTAATTCAGCACTCAAATTACCTTTTTTTGTTGAAAAATTTTGAAATTTGCAGTGATTCTGTTTGTTTGGGACTGGGCTGGGCTATGGTGCACTGCTACTAGGGGACAGGGGCTGCTGGGACTTGAGACAAGAGACAAGAGATGAGAGTGAGACTTGAGGTTGAGGGAAACGAACAAAGAGCACACACCACATTAAAAGGAGAGCTGAGAGACGGGGGATGAGGCTGAAGGCCTGGAGAGAAAAATTAGTGTAACACAGACTGAGGGGATGAGAAGACGTGGTGTCTGTCTGTGGGATTTAGACAAGAGGTAGAGACCAAAGAGAATAGATTGTAAATGAATTGGGGGAAATTACGAAAAAGACATGGGTGTTGTGTGGGAGTTGAATTTTTTAATAAATATTTAGGGGTAATATAACTAGCTTCATTTTTTAATTTTGAGAAGAAATTTTTTATTTAGGAGAAACTTTTTTAGTAGGAAATTTTGCCTTGGGAACAAAAAGATTTGTTAATTATTTTAATAGAAAAATAATTGTTAATTAATTCCACAAGATAATGAAAAACATTTCAACTTTCAAAATTTTGAAAAGAAATTATATCAAAGTTACTGCTTAAAAGTGGCATTAAACTAATTAGTGCTTAAAGCATTTGCTTAGTTTCTTGAGACAACCGATGATCAGAGACAATGTGTAAAGTACATAAACAAAAAGAAACATTAATGGAGATTATGCCAAAATCAAATCATGTCATCTACTTAAATTATGGATGCCTAACCACTTGTTAGATGATTTGCACGATATAATCTGATAATTTCTTGATGAGTATATGGTATTTAAAGAATCAAATATATCATTTACTATGACCACCTATTTTACACATGTTTATTTATCTCTTGTTATTTTTTAAGTACCATATGAGTAATTTTTTAAATATAAATATTTTGCTATAATCTTAAAAAAATTATAAATATTTTTTCTTAAATAGATAAAAGATATGATATGATATAAACTATTTTAAAATCATGAAATAAGAGTTTTTATGATTAATAATTATAATTACCATATTTTATAGTAAGTTAAGCAAAATTAAAAAAAAAAAAAAATCACGACTGCGATAACCACAATGACAGCGAAGGTCTCCGTTATCTCTGTTATGTCTGCAACTGTGACGCGATGTAAAACGTGACTGCTACTGCAATTTAAATCACTGGTGTGGGAATTTATTAGACTATCAGGCATTTATTAGACTATCAATGCAGCACTAAATCTCTCTCTTGACTGCTTATTCCCATTCTTGTTAATCTGATTTATTTATCTATTTAATCCAAAAGTATTAATGATTTTCATGTTCATGTTTAGGCTACCGGTACTGACGAGTGCTGCTGGGGCTTTGGGGGCAACATATTGTCCACCTTATATCACTGTAGATGGGCCTTATCATACTCGTCTGTCAGGACAGATCTCTTCTACAGGACCCTCAAGGTTAGTAACATAGTTTTAGTTTCCTTGACCCACTGGCTTTAAAAACCTCGATTGTTATTGTTTGCCTTCTGCTTGCCAGAGTGGGGAGGGAAATATTGACTGTCCTCTCTAGTCTTAAAAACTGGAAGCATTCAACATTTGCCTCTTTTTTTTCATTGTTGAAGGTTAATATCTGGTTGGAATGTATTCTCAAGAAACCCTTTAATCAGGATTAAAGCATGATTAAATTGAGTTAAATGTGGTTTAGTTATATGCATGGTTTTGTTTGTTCAATCTCGGCTGTATCTTTGTCTTTGTAGAAATACAATCAATATATTTGGTGTGAAATGCCAAGTCTTTGGATGATGACAGTATCATCAGTTTACATAGAACTACTGCTTTTTACATAGATTTAACTTTAAAATAGAAAATAATTGTTAAAAGATGTTTTAAAAGAGTCTTTATTGTTTTGACATTATGTTATTTTATAATCATGTTAAACCAATAATGATAGATGTTTTATAATTGACCTTATGTGCAATGTCTTAGACTTTTTTTCTTTTCTACATATTTAGGGGTGTGTGTGTGTTTGTATGTCTGTCTTTCTGTTTCTTTCTGTGTACGTGCGTGTGAGAGGGAGAGAGCAAAAAACTAATGAAATCTAAGATAACAGACAGTTTAACTGGTTATGTTTTCTCATATTGATAAGTTATAACAAGTGGTTATTATTGTTGCTAACTGATTGTTTTAATAATATTTAATCATCCATCCTTTGCAGCAAAGAAGGAACTTCTAACAAACCAAATAATGAATGGAAGCCTTCCCAAAGACCTGGTAAGCAATGATCTTGCTGATCTTAGATTTGGTGGACTTCTGAACGTTGCCCTTTGCAATTTCTTATGTTTTAGTGGTAAAACAAGTTGTCTCCTGTGCAGAGCTTGTGAGTGATGAATTTGGGGAACGACAAAATAACCCAAATAAGCAGCCTCGCAGGCAAGTTGAAATTCTTAAGCTGTTTCTGCAGATGTGTGGAAAACATTTTTCAGTGTGTATATATCATCTACTATATGTAAGCATCTTGATTTGTTTAATCCTTCAATTTCATGCAGATATTCAGAGATGAGCTTTAGCAAGTAATTTATTTAAGATGGAGCCTGTCCCAATAAGCTGATAAAGGTTCTAATCTTGTGATGAAAGTTTTTATTATATTTTGGATGATCGGAATTTCTTATTTTTGAATTACTTGGTGGTGCAGGCCTTCCTTCCGGGCCCTTTGTGATCCCCAGCTTTTGACCTGGACCACTTTGGGCTGCAATTTGTTCCAGGATATAATAGGTAAATCATCCCTAGTGGCTGCTACTTAATCTGTTTGGAAGAAAGTTACAAGTTCTCTGGCAATTATTTTGTATCACAAAAAAAAAAAAAAGCATAAGTAACCATGCAGTTTATATGTCTGCACCTCTCCGCCCTTCTCTCCCTTCCCCTCCAATTGAGAGATTGGAAATTTCTTTTGTAACAACTGGCACATGTGAAAAGGTTAAGGTCTTTTGTAACTAGTGGCACTGTGGCATCGATTTAACATGGCTGCATTGCATTTAGGCTGTTTTGTAGTTTTTTCTTGGTATTAGTGCTTAAATGAGTTCAAAATCAGTATATTATCTGCAGTACCTATTTTTTTTCTTCCATTAATTTGTGGTGTCTTTGTTCATTCATTCTAACCTAAATCTCTGTGTCTCTTGCAATTTTGTTCTGGCAGGTTATAAATGACAAACGCCTGCTCATGCCACATTCAGTTTAAGAATAATATGGTGGCTTGACGGGTGGCATTCCCTTGTTTAAATGTGCGGTATGGACATCGTATTAGAGAAAATAAATTTTTTTTTCTCAGTTATACTGCTAAAATTCCTAAAACTGCTATTATTGTTTGATACAGGTTTTTCTTGTGGCTTGATTGTCTAATGAAGCTTCTCCATAAAAGTACGAACAAGAACTATTGTGCAGCAGCTGTTTGGTTGGCGAACTTAAGTTTTTAATTTGCATAGATGATGTTTTCTTATTCGTCTTTGGTGAGCATAGTTACCTGTTTGATGAGTTAAGCCTGGTTTTGGGAGTACATTATTGCCTGTTTGAGATTTTTTAATATTTTTATATGAAGGCTGGCTGGTTATTGAGATATCTTTAATTTAATCAAGAGCATTTGGTGATAAGTGGGTTTTGAAGCATTCTGTTCAAAGCTCTTTCTTTCTCTATTGAATTTCATACTTTTACCATTGCTTTCTTTGTTAGGGCTCGTTTGTATTCTGCAGCTCTTCCGGTGTGGTGAAATCTAGACCTTTACACAGGGTGCATCCTGCGATGCAATTGCCTGTGGTTACTCTCTAGTTGGTGACTAAAGAGGAGGGATTCGGTGAACAACTGAATCTTGGAAAAATTGATTGCTTTGCATTGGACAAAGCAATGGATTGTTTTAGTATAAACATAATAATAAAAAATCCCGTTATTGTTTTTACATTCAAATATATTTTCACTATTAATTTTAATTTAATTTTATAATCACATTATTCAATTTCATCTAGTCATCAAAATTAATTTTACAGATATTTAAATGGACCTTTGATCTACTACTTGCAACTTCAAAGCTTAAAATGTAAGTTAAGCCGGTGGACCCACATGCTAAGAAATTAATTTTAGTAAAGTCATGCTAGTTAATAACGAATGATTGTTATTTTAAATCTTTTTGAGGAGCGGTAGCTATGAGCTATTGCGGTTCACATGCTCCTTTTCTAAAGGAAATTTGAACATTTGTTTGGCACTTCAAAGTTGATCTAAATCAATTATTAAACATTAAAGAAAGATGTGCTCACTTGCTAGTCAATCAAAATTCAATTTTTGAGTTAGAAAAATATTTCATGAGCAAAATTTTAAAATTATTTTTAAAACATTAGATTGAAATATAACTTAAAACTCTTAATTAACTGTATTAAAAAAAATGAAAATCGAACTTTAAAAATCAAACTTAATCTCATTTTTGTCTTTTTTTTTTTTTTTTGAAAATTTAGACTATAATTTAACATTATTGATTTTTTGTTTTTTCTGGAAAACTAAAGAATAAGGCCAATTTACTTTTGGGAATTTTTTTTAATTTTAAATCTTCAACTTGACTCCATATATTACCAATGAAATTAGATAAACGAATTTGGAAACCATTTTTTTTTATCAATTTCTAAAAGAATTAGTGCTATGTTAAATTGTTTGCATTTTTTATAGCAACTGTGCTTCAAACATTTTAACCAAATTTGAAAACTCTTACTATTATTTAATTTTCTAATTTAATTATTTACCTTATTTAATTATCGATTCTATTTGAAGTAAATATAAAAAAGATTGACACATTACTAAAAAATAAATTTGATTATTTATTTATTCCGTATTTTATATAAAAATTAAATTATCACAATTCATATCAACTTAAAAAACATATAATATATTTTTAATTTTTTTATTAAATCTACATAATTTCTGTTAAAATTTAAACTGACATCATTTTTACAATTTTTTTTTTTTATTGCGGAGCCTTATCCTGCGTTAAATTACCACATTTACTAAAAGATAATGACTTGGACAATGATGGAAGAGTCAGTCTTTATGCTACAATGAGAAGCCCGACTATGCGTAAAAGACCTGTAGATTATGATGCTTGGGGCAAAGTCTTTATTCTGAAACTTGGACAATAAGACATTGACTGAAACATTGAAATCTAAAAAGCTTTTTTTTTTTTTTTTTTTTTGAGAGGAAATTAACTAATGAAGTCATGAACTTACATTACATTGTTCCATTTAGATTCACCTGTTTCTGGAACTGTCTAAAGAGTACGAAATATAGTCATAAGTCCAATACATGTCAAAATTAGAGTTTTTAATGGTCATCACAAAAATTCACAGGGAATAAGATTATTCATAACAGAAATGCCTACTACTTAACAACCAATGCAGAACAACCATAAATTGAAAAAAGAGAACCGGTGAATTAATGGTCAGGTTATAAAAGGATGACCTGATTTGCGCTGGCTCGGTCCATAAGCACCAATCACCGCCATCTCAAAACCTGGCAGCCAATTCAACCAGATCTTTGTACACATCACTTACAAAAGACTTCACTTTCAGAGTAGGGTTCTTACCATCAGCCTTCCCTGGAGACTCGTACTTTATCCCAATTACAGTTGACAAACCTGTACAAAAACAAAGTAAAAGCAAATTCAACCACATAAAACAAGTTTCATCTAAATCAAATTGAAAAATGTAGGCATGTTTGACATTTCAAAAACAAACATGTGGGTTCCACATAATGCTAAACTGGATCCAAGGGGATGGGATGGGATGTCAGGTAGAGATCTTAGGTTCTTGTTGTTACCAAACAATAACAATAATAATAATAATAATAATAATAATAATAATAATAACAGATAAAAAAACAACTAAAAGGGTCATCTCCATGAACGCGATATGTTTGGTTTCAAACATCTTCAAGGCAGAACAAACATTAATGCAGGAGGAATTTAGGGAGGGAAAAAAACTATTGCACACTTTTACTCAATATAATTGCAATAAACATATATAAGGCATGCTAAAAATTTGTTAGGACTAGAACAATAAATGATTAATGATGAAATAACATCAGGTTGCGGGATAACAAAAATCAGATTGCCTGAAGTTGTATGACAAGCTTCTATCTCCTAGCTTTCAGAAAGCATGGTGCCAGACTTGGGCTAGTATAATTCAAGGCACTTATCTAAACTAATTTGAGATTAAGGGCTCATAGAATCAAGTCAAGATAGTTGATTACAAACTACATTAGCAATGATATGCACTCAAATTATTACAAACTGACAAACTAGTCATCAATAAATTATAATATATCAACTATAACACAACTCATAGCACACTTCATCTTTAGAGAACATTTCGGTGAAATTTAAAATTCTTCCAAAAGCACAGCAACTAATTTTTTAATTTATAATGGGTCAATAAACTCCTTGCATAGAAAAAAACAATAAGCGAAGGTACTCACTTGAATGTATGCGATCATATAAGAATCTTTCACCTTTCCAGAATTTCAAAGGTCTTGACCTAATCCTTGTACTTTGCCTCCTCCCTTCTCCATCAAATGCAGTACCAGAATCTAGAAAGAAAGAATGCACCAAGTCATTCCAACAGAATTACTAAAGAACTCCAAAGATGCAAGTTGAACTTTTGGTTTTAGTAACACCTGCAAGACTTTGTCTTCGAGAAATTGCTTTCCTCTTACGTTCATGGTGTGGACAAGGTTTTGTTTTGCCCATCATATTCTGTTGCTAAAGAAACAAATTAAAAATTAGAAAAGAAAAAAATTGAACTTGAGAAATTTTTGAAAGGAAAGTAAACGAAACACAGGCAAGAGTCTTATTTCTTATTCTTCACCAAAAAAAAGACCCAGTTTGCCAATACTTAGTAATGTGTAGAAGAAATGACTCAATTCATAGGTTTACAGACATAGACCAATAAAAGGGAATCCGGACAGTAAACTGAAGAATGCAAAGTAAACATACAAACATCTAATAGAAATTACCATTAAACCACAATGTTGTAACTTTTACTCAAAATGACACCATCAACCATAGCAACAAGTAACAGATCTAGAAAACATTTCAATTTTTCAAGATACTCTTGGAATCAAAAAGAATTCCAGACATATCATCGAAGTTCATTAGGCAAAGTTTCTCATCCAGGACTCAAAAATCAACTTTCAGGCTTTACCTTTTCAATTAAAAGTAAAAGCAAAGCCATTTCCTCCTTAGTGATTTCAAATATTTTCAAATATTTTATTAATTTTCTTTAAAACTATAAGGAGTTAACTAACCAACCTAAGTCTAGATTTGGCATGATTTGAGACAGTGATTATTCTTAGATACTATAGTAGATCAAACTCTTTCTCACCTCATAAATAGAACTAAGAACATTGTTCTTTGTCAACTTTAAATTTTAATAATTATATCATGAACTAATGAGAGCCAACAGAACTAAACACGTTTTCCAAATGTGGTGTCAAGAAGCAGTGATTGAAAAGACAATAAATAATAATCCTACTATAGTAGAGGTAGAATGCACTAGCAGCATGTATCTCCCTTGTTGCAGTCCCTTATTCCCTTCAGATGCCTAGTAGCTAAGTTACTTGTTGAAAAGCTTTAAAGTAGTTTGCACTTAGGGGAATTATTCTGGAAAGTGGAGGAGGAGTTGCCATGAGTTGCAATTTCTGTTTTAAGTAACAAATGTTTAATTAAAAAAATCTGGCAAGCATTAGTTTGTTATAGATGTCCAAACAGAAGATAGAAACCACAGATTCTATGCTTTGAGTTGTAGCCCAGTTTCATTACCCTAAAATCAATCTTTGTGGTGCAAACTTCTAAAAGCCTCTTAAACTAAAACCTTTTGCATTGATATCAATAATTAAATGAGCTCTTTCTGCATCTAGAGAGAGAGAGAGAGAGAGAGAGTAGACAGGTGCATGCAAGTTTGACAAAATTAAGCAGAATCAGGGAAAAACAATCAATGTTTGGAAAATACAAAGGTGATAGTATAGGAGCTTCAATATATAAGCCCAAAAAAGCAGTATAGAACTCCCTAATCTTGAATGTTGACAGCCATATTAGGTGGAAAAATATGCAAGAAGATAAATAATCATGAAAAGTACAAACCTCATGCAGCTCCTGATAATTTTCTGCAGCTCTCGAAGATCCATCCATTGTGTGGTCCTCATCCATTGCAGGATTAGATTCATCTGTTTGGGGAATGGAAATGTGCACAAAGAAAACCAATAAATTGAAACCATCAAAAGTATATCAATGACTAAGGTAAACCCAATTTATGATGTGCTAGGTCCAAGGCAACTAAAAGCGGAAAATTATAATTTACTATGTAGGTAAATCCAATAATATTAAAATTAGAAAAAGATATTCTAATGAAAAATTATTTAAAGCATAATAGCAGGTCAAAGATTGACTCATGTTGTGGTTATACTTCAAAAGCAGAAAATTACCACCTGATTTTCTTAGGACCATAACATGAAATTTCTTTTCTGATTTGTTAGACAACCATCAATGCGCCACATGTGTTCGACTGATTAGTTAAATGGGTATATCTAATATAGATTTGTATCTTTGATGTAATTTGAGAATTCAAGCATTGTCCGTTTAAGAAATTAGTCTTGACTAGTTACACAAGCTCAAGTATGAAAGCACAAGAGCCCATTTAACAAGAATGAGCAAGCCATACAAGGAGTTGCCAAAGGTCACCACAATAATATGTAAGGCATTAGGATAGGGATTAACGTATATCATGTTATTTGGACAGTTCACTGGTTACTACCATACCCCATTCAACCAAACATTCAATTTTTCGTAAGTAGACCACAAAGTGCTATCACATTACAATGGACAACTTAAAGTTTATTCGAAAAGATAGCACCTGAGAGAGAGAAAAAGAGCAAGGTAGAGAGAGAGAGAGAGAGAGAACTATCAACTCATCTGAAGAGGAATTAAAGTGTTAAAAGATCCTAAAAGGACAGCTACATGAGGGATCAAAAAATTCATGCTGTTAACCACCAACTCCTAGCTAGTCAGATGAGGAACAGCTCAAACACAACTAAAGAAGCAACTATGAGCAATTTAACCACATCATATTTCTCAACTTGTACACAAAAAATTGGAACAGTCTTTATCCTAATAATTGGAATCTGACCCAAAAAGGGGCGGAGGGGGACATTTCAAGAGCTTAAAAGGTCAAAACCGCAGCAAGGGAAACCTAAAAATAAAAATTGTGATTACTTAGTCATCAAATCACCTAAACTATTGCACAACAAACTTTTACCAGACATGCATGATGCAACTAACACAACAAAACAATCACCCATTTTTGGTTTTAGGAAACTTTAAAGAATAAATGTCATTAGTAGAATCTTTATACCTATTAGTCCCTCTTCGTGAGAGAGGGAAAGAGAGGTGGGAGGATGGGCAGAAAAGAACTGTAACGTCAAATATAAGCATAACATAGACTTGGTATCTGATTATTTAAGTGTGAAAACTAATCAAAAAGTGGCAAGTCATGTGTAATTCAACATATCAACCAGGAAAAATCAATTGGGGATGGAGGGGAGGTGTTTCTTATATATATATATATATATATATATATATAGAGAGAGAGAGAGAGGGTGGATACAATTTTGTACCCCTCTTGTAATCAGATAGTAAGCTAACCATCATCATTCATCATAATTATAGATAGAAAAAGAGAGAGAGAGAGAGAAAGGGAGGATACAATTTTGTACCCCTCTCATAATCAGATAATAAGCTAACCATCATCAATTCACCATAATTATGTAGAAAGAAATCATAAGAATTTTCAAAGAACCAAAAGCATCTAGCTAGGCATTTGGATAAGTTGAGAACTAGTTTATCACAAATTATTCTTGCACCACTAAGTAATGTATTTTGTTATGGCATCCAATCTTAAAACTAATTGACAAGAAAAGGAGAGGCACTACCTAAAAGTCAGGCAACTGAAAACTGTGATATAGGACATAATACCACTTACCATTCTCCCTTGGGTGTAGCCTAATAGAACAACTTAGACATATCAGCCTATCTTGTCAAGTACAAAAACCCCAAGTTCAATTCATGTAGGATATGACCATTTAACGTATGCTAAATAAATGGAAACCAAGAAGAACGAATATTTGATTTCTTTCAGAAGAAATGAAAGATCCCAAAATAATCATGAAAATACTGGGAGTGATATAGGACATATTACCACTTACCATTCTCCCTCGGGTGTAGCCTAATAGAACAACTTAGACATATCAGCCTATCTTGTCGAGTACAAAAACCCCAAGTTCAATTCATGTAGGATATGACCATCTAACATATGCTAAATAAATGGAAACCAAGAACAATGAATATTTGATTTCTTTCAGAAGAAATTAAAGATCCCAAAGTAATCATGAAAATACTAGGAGTTATTCCAGTATGGCATTTGCTAATGAAATCCCAGATGATTTCTCATTCTTTTTCTTCTTTTTGAAATTTTGCTCCTCTCCTCTTGTATACATAAGGGATAAAAGGAAAAGAGACTAATAAAGAATAAATTTTTTCTCCAGTTTGCAAAAATCATAAAACATCTCTGAAAACCAATCACTATACTACTTTGCAACCACTAATAAATGAAAAAAAAAAAATTGTAACTGAGGCATTTTAATATCATTCATTTGCATCCCCATCCCACAAGAATACGTCATGGAAACAGAGAAAATAATCATACCTGACTCTTTCTGAATGGTATGTGAATTATCAATGGTTGGCCATTCCATGTTAAGTTGGGTCTGAGCAGAAACCACTGCTTCTGGCAGTATGTCTTCCACCTGTGTTTAGTCACAATTCCTCAGAGTATAACATTCCATAACAAAGATTTCCAGTAAACTGCAAATGAGTAACTCTTGAAAAGTCAATAGGACTACTCACCCTTCCACCAAATTCATTTGGTTTTATCATATGACCATCTGCAGCAACTTCAAGCCTGCTTAAACTGTTATTCTCTGAGTCGTCCTGAGATCCAGTTGAGACAACATTAATACCAGAATTAAACCTACTTGCATTATCATTTACAAATTTGCCAAAGAGACAAGCAAAATCTTGCCCATTGAGCTCAGAACTTGCATTAGCAGTTGCAGTTCGATTTGCTTCTAGTATTGGAGACCTTAAGAGGTGAGACATATTTAATTCCTTTTCTGTATCAACCTGACTAGATTGTTTGTTGATACTTTCAATGGGATATGCATTTCTCCCTGGTGATTTGTCAATATTATTGGTTGAAATAGGATCACTTAGTGGATCTGACTGCAAGATATGTTTCTTCTGCAATGACATTGAAGCCAATGGATTTCTTGGAGTAGGAGAAGCTAAATGATGAGCTGAACTTTCTGCATGTTGCTGTGGTGATCTTTTATCATTGTTGTGAGGCACACTTAGTTCCTTTTCTGTATCAACCATATCAGATTGTTTAGTAATATTTTCCATACAAGACGCATTTCTCACTGATGATCGATCAATACCATCAGTTGAAAATGGATCATTTAGTACATCGGACGGCAACATTTGATTCTTCAGCAATGATATTGAACCCAATGGACTTCTTGGAGTGGGAGAAGCTAAATGATGAACTGAACTTCCAGCCTGTTGTTTTGGTGTCCTTTTATCAATCCCCTTCATCAAATCTGATATTGAATTTCTAGGCTTTGTCAAGTTTTCTCTAGAAGCTTTCAAATTAATCCACCTAATATCTTGCAAGTCAAAAAGGCATATTTTCTCCAGCTCAATAGGTTTGATCTGCAAGTGCTCCTGTAAAAGACCGACTGCCTCATCCCCATTATAATTACTGGTAAGCAAATGATCCAGAAGTTCTTTAATCTTGTTCTCTGCATTGGTCACTGAGTCTAGAGAGCATATAACAGTATCTTATCATATACACAAAGAGGGGGAAATTTTGCAGCGTTATAAAAACAAACACAAACGAAAACCAAGTCATATAGCAGGTTATTTTAGAAGATATCAAGAATGGGAGACCACAGACAGAATAAATTAACTACTTATGACAAATCAACCTTTCTTGACTTACCAGCCAACTCCTTCTCTTGTAATTCGACATTCAGGTCAGATTTTTCTTGTTGCAAACCGCAAAGTGGACTGAGAATTTCCTCTTCAAAGCTTTCCACTGGGTACATAGCAGTCAAATAGCAATGATTGTACTTAACTGATCTGAAAATAAAATCATAAGGCTATCTTACATACATATATACATACGGAAAGATTAAAAAAATAACAAAAATGAATACAACGGAAAATTGATAACAGAACAAATTGAACAGACCTCAATATTCCAGGCCAACGAGGCCGTGCAGCCACGGACTGAACATTCCGATCCAAATCCATCAAAACACCACCTGTCTGTTTCTGTATTTCTCTTTTGGCATCTATATAGCATTACAAACGCACATCGAAAAGATAAATTCATACAAATAATTGCAGATTAAACATTCCAACCAAAAAAAAAGGCAATCGAGCAGCAACTAACTTTCAACCCATTCAAAAGCCATAAAGAATTCTTCCGGATCTTTCAATTTATCGATGTCTAAAGTCGGTTCTAAACTCACAGTAGGCTGACTATAAAAAATTAAATAAGTAAAATTAAATTCAACTGTAACATTTACCACAAGAAAAATAACTAAATTAAGCAATTTCAAATTATTTTAACCTTGAGTTAGGCTTCAAAGAAAAACAAGCTCGTTTACGGCCTAGAGCCGCTCTTCGTTCTCGAGGATTTTCCATAACTTCAGCATCAGAGATTAACATATCAAGTTCACGAGTTCTGAACTATTATCTACAATTGCTTTGGCTTGCTCAAGAAGCTTATTAGGGCTTTGCAATGGCTGAACAATTATAAAAAATAAAACAAATTAATAGAACTAAAATAACAGTAAAACTAATTTTAGGGGGAAATAGAAAAAAAAAAAAAAAAAGGTCACCATGGATTTGAGGAAATCATGGGAATGTTGAAGATCGTCCGGGTCGTAAGGTCGAGGAAGGTTTGGAAGGGAAGCGAAGGTTCGAGCAAAGAGCGGGAGACCCGAATAGCCTCGAGCGGATCTCGACTGATAGTTTGGAGAGCCATTTCTTTTTCTTTTCTCTTTTTTTTTCATGGGATTTTTAGGGGCATTGCGATCATTTGCTAGGTTTGAATCTGGACAAAGAGAGTAGGGCTGGAACTGGAATGGAATGGAGTTTTCGAAATTCTATTTCGAAAAAGGAAACTGAGCGGGAGTGTACACGGGAGCGGCTACAAACAATTTTATCGGATTTTGCAATAGTATCCCTGTGTTTACAGCTATTCTCACATTCATAAGTTTTTCATGGGAAGGGACGGTGGGTGGAAAAGGAAAGCATTATTTTGTTTTTTTAAGTACATCACCAATTAAAATTATGGTTATTTTAACAAATGTAAAATTTTATATAATTAATATTCATGCTTTTTAAAAATTATTATAGTATTTTGATAATAAAAAATTAACAAATTCTAATTGGATCATTATTTAAAAGGTTAAATATAGATTTTATTTGTGTACTATATCATTGTTTAAAAGATAAATATCATGAATGATTTTTAAATTATAATAAAATATTTAATGTGATATTTAAAATTTAAAATTTTATAATTTGTTATTTGAACTATGAAATTATTAACTAATGTGATACTTATATCTAATATAACTATATTCAATGATAGCACGTGGCAAACAAATAATCCTTTAAGTATTATATTAGCTTCATAATTTAAATATCATATTATAAATTTTTAAAGTTTAAGTATCACATTATACATTTCATTATAATTTATGGGTCATTCATAACATTAACATCTTTTAAAATTTAGTATCTAAATTATAAAATCCACAAATAAATATAAGAACTTTAATTATATAAAACAGGTTAACCCAAAAACTAACACTGTTAATAAAAAATAAGAAATATCTTTTTGATTGATAAAAAATCATCAACATAGAATGCTACATTACATTGTCATAACATATAGATCCGAAAATCTATAGCTAAACTTAACAAAATGAGTCGCTATCAATCTTTTTTATCTAAGTGCGATTGGTCACCTAAAGAATCTATCCTTTTAAGGAGTTCTTAAGCTTAACTAAAAGTCCTTAAAAGAATAAGTTCGGATCTACAAACTAGAACAGAGTTTGAAAATTCGATTATATATGGGGAAGGTTATAGCACCCTCATATACCCATCCACATGATGGTACCATTTTATTTTAAATTTATCCTAAGGTCTTGATTATAATAATTTTAATTTTATGTTAAAATATTAGAAATAATTCATAAGATTCTTCATCAATCTCTTAAAAATATTTTCTCACCTCAAGAGTATTCAAGAATCCCATTTATTTCCTTGAAAAAGTTTTATCGTTGGAAAAAGGTTTAATCATTTTTATTTTTTGTTTGGTTTTTGTCGAAAATATATCTAATCATTCCACCATTTTTACCAAATTAAAAATATTTTTTCTTTTTTTTTTAAAAATTTTTTCACTATTTTGGCCTATTTAGAAATTCTTTTTATTTTTTTGGAGAGAAAATAATATTACAATTATTATTTTTAAAATTTTATTTAAATTTTTTATCATTTAGGATAAATTTAAAGAAATTTATCACCTAGAGATTTCTTAGGAATTTATCATTTAAAATTTTTAAGAATTTCATCATTGGATAATTTTTAAATATTTTCAACCAAATTTGAAAAAGAATATAATTACTTTTATTAAAATTTTATCTAAATTATTCCACCATTTGGGACAAATTTAGAGAAATTTTTTACCTAAAGATTTTTTAAAAATTTACCATTTGAAATTGCTAAGAATCTCATCCTTGGGTAATTTGCATTTTTCTAAAATTTTATTAAAATTTTATTTGTTTAGGTTTTTTTAATTTCTTTTTTTTTGAAAATAAATATTAATTATTGTTATTGAAATTTTATCTAAATCATTTCACAATTTGGGATAAATCTAGAAAAAATTTCTCACCTAAGAATTTAATAAAAATTTACCATTTAAAATTTCTAAAAATTTCATCATTGGATAATTATTATTTATTCTAAAAAAAATTATTTTTTAATTTTTTTTCTCTTTTTATTTAATCATGTAAAAATATTAAAAATACTAAATAAATACATAAAAATACAAAAATAAAATAAAATACCAAAAATTCAACTCGGCTTGGCTGGGAGGCGAGAGATCAGCTCGGTTGCAAGCACAGACAATGGCTCAAAACGTGACTCAGAGGAAATCGGCTCGGCTTGGCTTAGCAGCAGGGTCGGCTGGGACGCGGATCGACGGATCGAGTTGCAATTAGGTCGAGTTGCCTGAATAAAAATATGTAGATCCCAAGGCCTTTTAAACTCCAAAATGATGTCATTTTGGGGTCGATATAAAAGCTTGAATCCGATCTTTTTCATAAGATTTCATTTTTCCTTTCTCTCTCTTCCCCTTTCTTTTCTCTTCCTTTCTCTCCAACTCGGATGAACTTTGGTTGAATCCTTCACCGAATTTTGGAAACCCTGACAGAATTTGGGTTGGCTCACTAAAAGTCCATCGAAAAATTCAATCAATCCCAAAATCTTCAACCAGATTCTAGGAAACCTGCCAGAAAATTCAATTGGCGTCGACAAACTCACTGAAAAATTCAATTAGCGCTAAAAAATTCATCGAAAACTAAAAATTTTTCAAAAAAAATTTTAGAAAAAATCTTCTTTTTAACCTTAAAAATTTCCCAAAATCTTCAAACTATTTTCGTAGATCTTTACTGCCTTTCTCCCTATTTCTCTGTGTGTTTTATTGTGTTGATCTCTCTGATTTCTTTTTCTCCCCGTTATTGTGTGATTTAGGTATGATATTTATAGGATAAAACATTAGAGGAGTTTTCTTTCGATTATGAGACCACAGTTAACAGGAATTCTGTATCATCACAAATCCTAAGATTTATCTATTGTAAATTAAATCAATCTAGAACTTTACCAACAGCCATCCATGACAAAAATTATTTTTATTATCCTAACAAAAATACCAAAGATAAATCAACTAGAAAATAAAGATAAATAAAATAAAATAACTAAATAATAAAAAAACTTAAATAAATAAATAAATAATATAAAATAAAATAAAGAGTAATTGGGCCTAAAAATTTCACACTTTTGGGCCAAGCCTAATGGGCTTGGACCAGGCCTAATGGGCTTGAACTTGGACCAATTAAGATGTTTACAACTGCCCCTTTTTATACAGTTCCTATGCAACATGAATTATGCAAAGACGTAGACACCCAACATATGATCATCCTGACACATTCACCCCATTTTTATTGTTTTTTAAATAACTAAATGCTTGAACTGATTGAATGACACAAACTCTTCTAAGCACCTTTGGAAAAATAAACAAGGCTCATCTAAACAAAGGCCCAATGACTTTGAAAAATAAACAAGGGTCCTCTAAATAAAGGCTCAACGACTTTGGAAAATAAAGGCTCCTCTAAGTAGAGGCTCAACGACTTTAAAAAACAAAGGTTCCTCTAAGCAAAAGCTCAACAACTTTGAAAAATAAAGGCTCTTCTAAGCAGTGACTTAACAACTTTGAAAATAAATGCTCCTCTAAGTAGAGGCTCAACAAATTTGAAAAATAAAGGCTCATCTAAGTAGAGGCTCAACAACTTTAAAAAATAAAATAAGGCTCCTTTAAATAGAGGCTCAATGACTTTGAAAAATAAAGCTCCTCAACAATCATGTTCAGAGGAGTCATAGATCATGTTTGATAAAATTTGTAATTAAAACTCAAAGATTCATAATTTGAGTTTGAAATTCAAAGGTTTAGATTTGCAAGAATCTTTCAACTTCGTAAAAATTCACTGAAATTTGATTATCAAAATTTCAGTTTCACAAGAATTTGATTTGTAAAATTTCATCTATGCAAGAATTCAAATTTACAAGATTTCAAGATTCGTATTTGTGAGATTCTCATCCAAAGGTTTTATTTAGGGATTTACATGCAAATTGTAAGGCTTACACCCAACATTTAAAGCTTCTCATTCAAATTTTGGAGATTCACATCCAAAATTTCAAAGCTTATCATTTGAGTTCAAAGGTTCATATTTGACAAATCTTAAAGTTTCACGTCTAAAATCTCAAAGGTTCTCATTTGAATTCTTTTTAAAGATTCTCATTCGAATTTGAAGATTTACATCTGACAAATTTTAGGGTTTCACATCTCAATGATCATCATTTGAAACTCGAAGATTCTTATTTGAAAATTCAAAGATTCTCATTTGAGAACTCAAAAATTCAAAGATTCTCATTTGAATTTCAAAGATTCTCATCAAAAGATTCATAATTTCTATTTTAGGTGACTTAAAATTTTGTATGTAATTGATGTCATGATTAATGGTGCAAGTGCAACAATCTAGATTTTCACAATAATGTCATATTCTCAACCATGATTCAAATGTATACTGCATAATACAGGTGCATTACCAAACCAAAGTTTTAAATATTCTCCAAATAACAATGTAAATGCAATGCATGTAATGTAGATGTCAATGTCATGAAATTCTAATTAAATGTGATAACATGGATCTCAAGACCCCACTATCTCACATTTTCCTTTGTATAGCTTCTCAGTACTTTAGAATAAGTTTCGTCAACTGATCTTTATTATTTTCATCACTTCATCACCATTCATAAGCTTCTCAGTACTAACAATTCTAGAACAAGTTTCATCCATTGCTCCGTATCATTTAATCATAACTTATAAGCTTCTCAACACTAGCAATTTTAGATAAATTTTGTCAATTAATCTTATTATATTCATCACTTGATCACCATTTACAAGCTTTTCAGCAGTAGCCATTCCAGAATGAATTTCATCTAGTAATCCACATTATTTTCATCATTTGACCACATCTCACAAATTACATCAACCATTCCATGACCACATTCATTACTTGGTCACACCACGTGTCCTTTCAAATCATCTTTTCAAGTTTTTACTTTTTTTACCCCTTATCATCCTGGATTTCTTTTTAAATGAATGCAAGAATCTTTTAAGCACATATTCATTCATTCATTATCATTTCAAATCATGAAGTGCAATCATACATTTCTTCGATTTATTCTGAGGATGCAACAATGAGAGAGCATAATGTGAATTGGGAGAAAGGTAATCAATGAGAAATGAGTTTGGTACAAAAATAAATGAAGAAAGAAACAAGTTAGATGCATGTCATTAGGATGAATGGTATATCCAAAGAATGAATATTCAAACAATTCTGAACATTAATCCAAGATTCTTTTTCAAAAACTCATTCCATTGATTGTCGAAATTATTTTGAGCTTATCAAACTTTGTCCCA